CTGACCAAAACTGAAAATCAGGATCCTTCTAAGGTTATCCGGTCATCTTCCATGTTGTCACGACCCCCCCAAGTTGTCTCAGCTGTGTCCCTTACCCCCTCCCAAGTTGTCTCCCTTGCAAACTCCTAGATGGTCACAGAGTACTGTTCAGCAAAAACGTAGAGTAGAATTGCAAAATAATCAAATCTGGACTGATCATCCTTCTCACAACCACCACAAAACACCGTACAATAAATATTGTTAAAGGTCTCTGGTCTCCTGAGTGACCCTATGCATGTGGGTCAAGATACTTCTTCGTTCCGTGACACCCTGGGCCAAACCCCCCCTCTAGCCCCCAACCCACTACAGAGAGAATACTGTACATTATTCTTACCATAATTTCAAGAAGAAAAGTCTATAAATTTGTGCCTCATTCAGGACATTTATTGTGTTTCTTTTGGTGTTAAAATATTCTCAACTTTTTTAAATGTTTAACCTTTTTTAAATTTTTGAATGAAGAATCCCTCAAATCTTTCAAAACATTTTACCACTTTCAAAATTTATTACTTCAGCATAACTTCAGACACCATTCAACTTTAACAATGGTTTCAAAGTGTTGAGCTATTTTTATGTGTATCAGCTCCTTATAGTATTTTATACTTTTTTTTTTATACTGAAAATTCTTCCATCAGTCATTTCTGAGTGTGTAATGGACTCCTACGGTACGGAACTTTGGTACAAAGTGCCGCTTCCAACTGACTGGAGAAATTCAGGGAATTCCTTTAGATTTTTTTTTTAACCCTCCTGTTATGTTCATTTTTTAGGAACAGCAATGCTCTTCCCGGGTCAGTTTGACCCGGTGCATGTTTAATTGTCCAAAAGATGTCTGAAACCAGAAAAATCCTAACAAGCATTGTTATTAACTCCATTACTAACTACTCTATCAATATTTAGTGCAATGGTCTTTCTTACCTCTAACAGGTAATGATCCAATTATGATAATTCACTCGTTTTAGTTTTTTTTAAAACTGCATGTTCAAACTTTTTTTAATGTTTCACCACTTTATTACTTTTGAAAGACCAACATATAAAACACAATAGTTTTACACAACATTGAAACTTAATTTAAGATTGAGGGGCCCTGTCCTTGATTACCAGCAGCTCAGCAGGGAGTTCAGCCCTGTTCTTTCGGACAGTTCCGACCATTGTGAGCTTTCTCTTTAGAAGCTCCTGACCCAAATTGTAGTTTGTGAAAAAATTGTCACAGGTTATGTTCTGTCCCCTGAGACCCTTGTGCCATGTTGAGCATGACCCATGTGCCCTGAATCTTCTCTGGGGCTCCTTCAACCGGCTTTCCAGTGTAAATCTGCATGTTCAATGCATAGCTGGTGTTTGCATCACATGCTACCCAGATTTTTATCCGATATTTGGCCACCAGCCTTTCATCCACTGTGACATTAGGGCCTGGGTTATAGAATAGTGGAAGTTGCTCTATCCACTTGTCCCACACTGTCCTAATAGCTGCCAGTTTGTCTCCCGTCTACCAGCCCTTGTCTCTCGATTATCAAATCGGATTACTCTGGAGAAAATGTGAAATGTCTCCAGAAACATTGTGGCTCGAAATATAGCCCTGCCTGTCTCTGCATCCCACAGACTGGCTGTCGATTCATCCTTCGACTTATAGACCCCAGCCAGGATGAGGAGCCCCAAATACGCATCTAAATGCGTTTTGTCCAGCTCCTTCAAATTCTCCCCCAAAACACGCCTCCCTTCAAGATTAGTCAGTTCCAGAATGATTTTCTGTATTGAATCTGGCATGACCAGCACAAAAGCTGACTTGATGTCAGTCACACGAGTCACTGCCATCCTAGTGGGCCCTGGCACTGTCTTCATTATGTTTTGTGCAGACAGTTTTGCCTGACGCATATTTGGGGATGAAGACAACTGTATTTCACCATTTTTTTTACATGAATGTCATGCGTGGAGGAATAGGAATAGCAATTCCATCATCAGGTTCAAAATCAGAATCATTAGAATCAGAATTTAGCTCAAGATAGTCTTCATCTTCAGACACATTCTCCTGTGTGTGTGTGTGTGTGTGTGTGTGTGTGTGTGTGTGTGTGTGTATGTGTATGTGTGTGTGCGTGTGTGCGCGCGTGTGAGTTGTGGTTTCAAAATACTTTTAATGGTGTCAAGGAATAAAAGGAGTTTTTACCTCTGAATGAATTCCAAAACACAGGCTGCCTCATCTTGATACTGAAGGTTGAATATGTAGTAGATTGCTAACACAGCAGCAAGTCCTGTTACAAATGTCGGTGTGATGCCCTCAGAGATTACACGGCCCTCAAGAGTGATCCTCCAACCTCTAACTGTGACTTGCCCTTTTGCACCTGAAACTTAAGTCATGGCAACATGAAATTGCATCTCACTGTATGTCAACATTTGTAAACTCAAGATGACCAGCATGGCATATTACAAAAAATAAATAAAAACATGACAAAAATATTTAGTGGCAAATTTCTGAATGAAGATCAGACAGAACAAAATTTTGAATTGTAAAAATGAAGAGACTGAATTATACTTTTTTTTATCTTTAAACAACTGTTTAGCAGTACCTTTAGAAATATGATGAGGTGATCCACTGCTTGAGATGCAGACATCTTACCCGGCCTCTTTCGTCCTTGTGCAGATGGTGGTAGCAGATGCAGCAGAAGCAAAATAGCAGACATGTCACTATCCCAACCTATAGACCAACAGCTTCAGGTTAACATCATCCCACTAGCATATGAATTTGTCACAATTACCTAGAAGACCAACATACCATTCTTAGCTTCAGCAGCCAACTCTGCATTCCGCAATAAATCCAAGAGCTCAGTGGTGGGTACCAGGCCATTGCTTTCCTTTATAACTTTGGATTTGAGACTGGTGGGCCACTTCTCCAAAAATGTATTGGCTGTGCCTTCGCCAAGCAGGAGTCTGAAATGTTGTTCTATCTGAAATGCATTAAAAAAAGCATTTCACACAGTAATAAGACAGTAAATGGCCTGTACTTGCACAGTGCTTTATAAAGTCCAGACGACCCCAAAGTGATTTACACCACATTTAGTCATTTACATGCTGATGGTGGTGAGCTACATTGTATCCGTAGTTGCACAAGGGAAGACTGACATAAGCAATGCTGCCAGGTGCTTGTGCCACCAGGCCTTCTGAACACCACCAGCAGGCAAGGCAGGTGAAGTGTCTTGCCAAAGGACGTAACAATTTAGAAAGAGTTGGGTTTCAAACTGGTGATACACAAGTTACAGGACAAACTCCTATGACTGTTGCCACTAAGTATTTTAGTAGTGTAAGAGATAAAACTGTCTTACCAGTCCTGGTGTGTCCAGAAACCGTGGAAAGACAGAGAAGACATCTGCTGCTTTCTTTTCATCATTGACCATTGAATGACGGTAATGGAAGGTAGCCTTCATCTTCTCACGGACAGTGTCATCATAAGCAGAGTGTTTCAAAACAGCAATAGCTGCTTCCACTTCCTCATCTGACAGCACTTTGTCAGCAGTGAAAACCCTGGATTGACCATGGCCTGGTCACCAACCAAGAAAGTTTCTAACTCCCAGCCACAGATTTTACATTACTTTACATATATACTCAATATTGAGAAAACTTACTTTTTGGAGATTTGCTACCCGAGGCACCCCTTTCTTCTGCAGTTTTTCTTTGAGTGGTCTTTAAACGCCATGCAAGGTATCCTGAACCGCTCTCTGTATCATAGTAATGCTCCTGTCAATAAATACAAACAGACTTACCATTCCATAAACATCTTTGAGGGTAGATATATATGCTTAATGTTGCTAAGACCGTTTTACTTACATATCCATGTTTTGAAAACGGGTCCTCCAGATAGGGAAATAGAGTGATGTATGCTCAGGGGATCGTTGCCCTGACGCTTTTAGGAGGGGATGATCTGATATATGATCAAACAATGAGTCACTAAATTGAGGTTTGAAAAAGTAATGAACAATTCAAAACCAAAATGTTTCTTTATAGTTTAAGTGTATGATTCTTACCCATGTGCTTCTGTCATTGCAGCTGTAAGGATGTTTATCATCTGTCTTCTAGTTGCATCTGTCAAGCATTTAGTTCTTGCATACTCCTGCATGATACGCTCACCACCAGGCTTTGTTGTCAAGATTTTTTCAATCAACTTCAATTTCAAAGAGAAAAAATGTAAAAGCTCTTGAACCACTAAACCTAGAAAGTGCATAAACAATGCTTAATTAAATATAATAACTTACTGCTTGCGCCTCATAATTTATGTGACATGGCCTTTAGCGGTTGGATTTTTTGTTTAGTGAGCATGAGTCTTGAGCCAGAGTCAGGTGGAGAACAGCAGCAGTTTATTTTCCACTCATCATCAACCCTCTCCTTCACAGCTGAAACTGCAGTCTTAAATAGTCCCAGCTGTGACGAACCAAACCATATTAAATTCACAGGGGGATCTCTTAATCAATCTCCACCTATTTACCTAAAATACATTTTCTTAAATACAATACTTCTATTTACTTTTTATAGATATTTTCTATTTTATCATTACACCTTAAATAAACACCACAAAACCCACAAACAATTCCCCCCCTAGTCCTTTCAATGGCCTCTCCCAAAATCAATATATGCCGTCTGGACCTCCGCGGTAGAATTTGTCCAAACACCCTGGAGAGGACACAGAAAAGACAGGTGAGTCACTTTACCACATACTCCACACTCAACAGATTATGCA